AGAACGACCACCGTCGACTGTCTCGAGCAGGCAACCGGCATATCGCACCGCTTCCATACTAGCGCCAACGAGTACATGTATGCATAATTTCCCAAGACATAAATTTTCAAAATGCCGTGCATTTGCTTCTCCGCCTCACTATGTGCTTAGACACCCCACACAATTCAGCGTTAAACAGCTGATGTGTTATGGCCGGAACTGAATACGGCGGCAAGGAAAAACAAAATGCAATGAATTTTTCTGCACTTGGAATTTCAAATATTTGCCGTTGTTTTATTTTCCGCCTCTTCATTTTCTATTTTTACGTGGTGTGCAACCTTCATCAACATATTCATATGGCAAGCCAAAAACTGTAGAAGAGCGCCTTAATTTGAGTATAATAAGTGCTGCTTGTGCACGGTGGCGTATGATGAATATTTATAGTGCAAGCCCACACACACATGCACACACATACAAAAAGGAGACGCTGAAGAAAGCAACGCCAACGTGTAACTGACAAAAGCGTAAGCATCTTCTTCTGGTTCAGCTTCTTCCCAGAACTTTGAACAAACAAATGAAAAATGAATTTCCTGCTTATGCTTATGCTTGGCATATGTTGAATGCTGCTCTCCACTCGACACCACGCCCCTCTCCACTCCCACTCCCACTTCTCTCTGCTCAACACCACCATACCCATAGTATGCTTGCAATTCTCTGTGCATCAAGGCAGACAAAAGCAGAGCGTAAATAAATGCATATTACTCATACGTACAGTGGTGCAAGCGGAAAGGGGAGTACGATGCGTTGCGGTGCGGTGAGGTGTTATGTTATGCAACATTGTGAAATGCCTGAACCAAATATTTACACCTACAATGCACGTAGCAACAAGAACAACAACAACAACAACGACAACAATAATAATAATAATAATAGCCCTCCATGGGCGGCCAAGCACAATCAAAAGCAGCATTTATGAAATGTGTGAAAAATGTATAATATGTATACATGAATATGCCATAAATATGTGCAAAGCGTAACAAAATGGCTTAAGCCATACAAGAAGGCCGTCACCAAGTGCCGTTTGCAACTTTGTTCTGCCAGGAAAACTCTTGGAGTCTCCAGCTCGTCCCCCTCGTTGCCTTTCATAATGATTATCCATTGAAATGGAAATGCAAGGCAAGGATTTAATATGATTCCCAACGCGTAAAGTGTTGCTGTTTGGCAAAAGTTTTTCCACTGCCATCTGCAGAAGCAGCAGCGATGACAAGGATGCGCTGCACCTTAGCATGAATTGCATTGGCAAAGAAGAAAGAATTCAATTTAAATAGATTTCCGCTTAGAGGAAATTTTCAAAAAAAAAGAGGGAGAGAGAGAGGTAGACAAAAAAAAAGTGCAAGAAGAGGCAATTGTTAGCACTCCTAGCTACGGAACGTATGTTTGTGTGTGGGCGTGGCATGCTGATTGAAAAACTCTTTACTACACACTCACATATGTACACCGTCATGGTACATACATAGACAAGCCATATACACAAATGTTCAGGTCTCATTGAAAATGAACGCATTGCAACAGTCATGCATTGAAGTGAGAGCCCAAAGAAAAGGATGAGCATAGCATGAAAAATATTAAATGCTCTTTTCAAAAATGATAAAACATCCAGTAGATTAATCTAGATCTGAAAGATCTGTAAGATTCAATTGATTGGCTTTTGATTTTTATCAGAGACTTCTAGATATATACATTTCGCCAAATGAAGTAACAAAATTTGTTCTAATATTGTAATAAATATATTTATAATTTTTTTTGTAATATTTTATATATATATATTAAGATTTAAAATTAAAAATTCAAATATGATTAATATAACATAGTCTCAACTTAAAAGATAAGAAAGCCTACGAAAAAGATGTACAATAACGTCTATAAATGCCCCCGACACGTTGGGGGAATTTTATTTGCCAGTTCAATATACATATGTCTGTCGAGAATACTACTACAAATGATGTTTTTTAAAATCATAGGGTATTTTTTTCTGAAAGAAGAGCTTGGGCGAATCATGATTTCAGCGGAATGGTGCACCATACCAATTATAGAATATATGTTCCATAAATATTGGAAATGCTTACTCTTTCAAATAAACCAATCACATACCGAAAAATAATTAGTTTTTTTTTGCATTTTTTATAAAGAATGGACGACTAAGTAGAAATGTATTGAGCAGAGCAGGATTGATGCACGGACAGTAATACGCGACAATAATACGAGAAAATCTATCTTATCTTATCAATAAATTTACGTTTATTTAGGACCTCGATAGGATGGAACAAGAAACCACTTTATGGAACGCCATTTACACACAAAATTGTTATACTGTATCATCAACTGGCATTTTTTAAACATATTATAATGATCATAGTTTAAAACTATATGGCAATTGCAATAAAATTATATTTATAGCTAAAACCGTATAGTTGTTACATTCATTTGTAAGCCAATGCAATTTGTGTTCCTAAAAATTTGGGTTTTACTTCAAATTCTACAACCTTTTCAAAAAAACACTAAATTTGATATTTTATATAAATAATAAATAAATAAATAAACAAGAAACACGATATTCAAATTCAAATCCATTTTACTTTGATGAAGAAATTCTTTATTTCACTGTCTTTATTAAGGTCTGCAGAACTTTTCTGGTAACAGCCAGGCAGATAAATACCTTCTCGCCAAATTTATAATTTTCTACTACCTTCGATTGGTCGACAGTAATACCTATCTGTTTTGTATTAACCTGTGAGCCAATTAAGTTTTACATATGCTTTGTTCTCCATTATTATTCAACAGAATCATAAAATTCATTTTTTGCGAACTAGATTTTTTAGTTAATTTTGCTGCCTTTTGTTGTTTATGTCTTCACTTTACCCCTTTGGGCCTGGCATAGCTCAACGAACTAGCAGGAATCCCACAATGTGAGTTCGTTCCTTGAGTAAGCACTCGGTTGGAATTACGCAGAAGCATGATTTAAAATTGTAAAAGTTATCATAAAATTTAAAAAGTGTTTATTTTTGGCCAAATCTCCTACAGACACGATTTGTACTGGATTTTAAGAATAAACACATTTTGTTCAATATTTTGATCACTAGAGCTCTTTTTTTGTCCACATTTTGCCAATTTCTTAATAATTATTATAATTATAATACATAATTAATTAATAATGCTTCTACAAACATATTAAGCTGGCTTGGTAGCGTAGCGTGAATTGCATTAACTTTGAGACTTTCTAGTATTAATTAGCATGGCGCCATAACATATGTAGTGTAAATATTATGATGTTCGATGAAACAATAAATAAATAAATTTTTCTGAGACACCTTTGGGTAGTAAATAGGTTTTGATAAGATGTACTATATTGCTTATAAAAACGCAATTGCATATATGTAAGTCTAGCTCCCATTTTTAAAAGCGTACATATGTTGCTTTTCGGCAGATAGGCGGAAAATCTACTGACTTACTATTATACTCAAATAGTTTAGCAATTGAACACTCCCTATTTCTTATGTGGTATGTGATCAGACGTCTTATTTTCAATTTCTCTTTTGGAACATCGTGTACGCTGCACAAAAGCACGAAATGCTAAGCAAGCGTGCGTGCGAAGTAGGTAATTGAAAAATAGTTTCCATTGCTACTTCTGCTGCTTTAACCGACTGCTTTGTGCTGCGTCCCACCTCAGGATCCTCGCCCATTTACGCCCTATGGACTTTTCTTGTTGCCAATTGAAATGCAAGCCGACACGCTAGCCTACCTCGCCTTGTTATCCTGTTTGTGCAGTCAATTCTTAATGAAGTTATTTGAATTTTAATTATTTTGCTCCTGCGGACGGTCGAGACCAGACCAAGTCGTTGTGCTTGATGTAAGGCGCTGACCGGAATTTATTGAAGTCCAACAAACAAATAAAAAATGGTGGCTAGCAAATATAAGTTTGCTACAGAGAAATGAAATGTTGTTAGGCAAATTATGCTTCAATTACCACATGAAAAAAGTGAAAAGGGACTTGCATTCGTAATAAGATTACGACATTGCCGCACAAGATGGAAAAGATTTGTGTAACGAATGGAGACAATAACAACTTTTGAAACTTATAATCAGTAAAAAAAAGGATGAACTTTAATATTTCCGCACAAGAAGAAAAACTATTCCTTTATTTTACAACGTAATGTAAAGATCTGCAACGCAAACTAAGTAGATATAAATAGAAAGGTTAATAAAACCGATCAAATTAAATAAGACTAATACTTATTTCAGCAGTATTTGTACAATTTTGGAACAAAACTAAGAAATGTTGGGAGCAGTCAATAAATATGAAAAAGAGACAACCCCGAATAGTTAGTCTAGCTCTTTCGTTGTTCGAGTTACTTTCATATAGACGAACAGGTGAATATGGCTAGAATACATATGCATTCACTTTTTGTGGATTGCCATGGCTCCTTTGGGTACAGGATATAATAATGGCATATTTATACATTTATACATATGCATTATGCTATTAAATATTATTGCTTTCTATTTGTGGTGTATGGCCCCACTGGACATACTATTCGAACATAATAAATATGAGGATTAGAAAATAAATGTGCACAAAAATTATTGTTAAAAAAAATTATCGCTGTAAAACCCTAAAATACAATATAGCTTGTGATAAACTATGGATAAGAATGGTCATACTCGTATGATATAAAAAATCTGTTCAAGATGTTGCGAACCATAGAGAATTGAGAACTGTGAGGTAAGACAGCATTCACGTTAGGAGCTAAAACGTTGGTGTTCCAAGATCATATGTACCCCGTCTACTAAAAGCCTTCAATAATCTGAAAAATTAGTACTTCTGAAGCGTTCTCAGTATTTTGCTGGTGGGGCATAACCGTCTTACTCTTCACAATACTTTTTAAACAAATCAAAATCTAATCAGTACACTATGGAATATTTGTCCGATATTATCATTATCTGTATAGAAATTAAGCTTTTTTATGTTTGGTTCCATAATTATTTTACTTTTACATATTTGAATGCCGAAATTTAATTGTGTTAGTTCCATCACTTAACTAACCAAATTCTACTGCGTGTCTATATGAGATAATAAATAAACAAAAGTTTTCGGAAAAAATCGTTGGGGGTATTTGAAACGTCTGATGAGGAATGAAACTAGTCCAGCTATTAGGCTTTTATGTTCTATGTCTAACTTTAGTTGCATGTAAAAGTAAGCTTTCGCTCTTACATATGTGTGCCTTAAGTGAAAATAACATTTAGTTTTTTAAATGCGCAGAGAAACCTGAGATAAAACAGCGTGGTCCGCATGAATTTAATTATGACAATCAAGGCGCCGATTGGCATGACGCATGTCATAATGGTCGTAGACAGTCACCCATAAACATCGATTCTGAACAGGTAAGTAATGTTTGCAAAAGGAATACATCCTTTAAATGAGCCCTGTAACCATGTAATGCTTTATTTTCATCGCCAGGCTACTAAGGACTCAATATCGCCAATTAACTTTGTCAGCTATGACGTACCGCTGAAAACTCCAATAAAGGTAACCAATAACGGGCATTCAGGTGCGTTCTGAGAACTGGCTTTTGACTCTGCAATTCAATAGCGAATTTCGTATAGTCTATATGCATATACCAGATACAATAAATGGCGAAAAACCGTATATAAATGGCGGAATGCTAACTGGTGACTTTGAAGCTATAGAAGTTCACTTCCATTGGGGGTCAGTCTCAAGAAAAGGATCAGAACATGCTATCAACAGGGAGCGCTTCGACGTTGAGATGCATATTGTGCACAAGAGAACAGATTTCTATTCTGTAGCAGCTGCAAAGCTTAAAGATGGTGGACTGGCTGTGCTGTGCATCTTTCTCAGAGCTTCCTCTGATACAGACTCTGAGGTTTATGGCCTGAATAATATATTCAACCAATTACCGCGGCTTCTAAAACCAAACTCATTCGTCTCCATTTTCGGAGAGTTGTATTTGAAAGACATTTTGGGAAACTTAGACACCGATGAGTTTTACACGTACAATGGTGAGGCTGAGATTCCATGCCTCTTAGAAATACATCTCAATTATCTGACTTCCAATTATTTCAGGCTCCTTGACCACTCCAACCTGCAATGAAGTTGTAACTTTTACTATATTCACTGATGTGCTGGACGTGAAAAGGACGCACATAGAAAAATTCTGGGCTTTGCGCGACTCAAGAAATAAGCTATTGATAAACAATTATCGCAACTTTATGCCCATAAATGGTAGACCCATCTATTTTAGAGCTGGTCAGCAGAATATTCAAACAATGCCCAAAAGTTATCTTGCAATGCTCCTCATTCTCTCTAAAACAATTATTCGGTTTTACAAATAAAATTGAAAGAAATTGATTATTTTATTCTTATTTATTTTTTTTTTTTATAAAAAGCCGCTTGTTATTTGGAAATACCCTTTCGTTTCTTCCGCAGATATAGACCTCTACTTTTTTTTAAGGCAATCAATCATTGTTGAAAAGTGTAATAATTGTTGAAAAAATAATTATGGTAAGCTTTGTTCATTTATACATATTATTTTTCTGATTTAAGCGCATGTAGTTTTCAATAAATATTTTTTTTTGTCTCTCATTCTGCATTACCTTATCCTGGTAAAATTATTTCATCTATTTTTCACCCGTACATTCAAAATACAAGTACTTCTCGTAAAACAAAAGCAAATAAATTCAAGTTCATTTTATTCAAGTGTTCAAATAAAAGTATTCAGCCGTTGACTTCAAAAATCAAGAAACACTCTATAACTTCAATTACTACTTCAAAATTACTTCTAAAAATATTGATAATACAGAACAATTTTTTCTTTTGCATATAAGTATGTTTGTGACATATACTATATACTATAGTATGTATGTATATGTGCAATAAAAATTGTGATTTAAGGGATACGCGTGACTGACTTCAAGCTGTGCGCATATTTCAATGACGGCCTAAATCAGAGGCCAACACAAAACTGTGGTAGCTGCGGTAATAAAACATAATAATTAACATTTGTGTGCCGTGAGCTGTTCAAGAATTTGTGATAAATGGTGACCAAGGCGTTCGTTACAGCAGAGGAAAAGTGTAGCATACTTTTTAGCTGTGCGTAGAAAGTAGCAGCAACAAAAAAATGAAAAATAAAACGCGTTATGCTAATGACTAGAAAACTCAAGCGCAGATTTGCATGGCAACTTTTAATTACATTTTGTACAAGTGTGTGAAATGCGGGTGTGTGGGGATGTGTATTTCTACATATACGTATATACATATACAGCTGCATTTGCATGTATATGACAGACGCGACAGACTGACTGACTGACAACCTTTGCCAGCCAGGAAAAGCAGAACAGTAAGAGAGGGATGGAGAGCGCGCGTGAGCGTAGCGCAAAATGTAAGTAATGACTAAATGCGCACTCTGACAGTTCAACATGACAAAAATGTTCCCTTTTGTGAGCTTGATAAATGATACGAGCTACAAAGCAACAGAATAGCAGTAAAAAAAGAAAGTTTGTATGCATGCCCCCCAACCATATGGACCCAAAAAGTTTCCCCACTATAGTGGACGCAACTGTACATGTTGGATGTTGGAATTACTGTTGCTGTTATTGCCGCCACTTTCACTGGCTTCACTTTTTTCGCTGAACTTTTATATTAACATTTAAGTGAATAAAAAAGATGTTGCTGATAAGTACGGCAACTGTAAACAAAGGTTATGAATGTACCATAGAAATGCGTAAAATTAAAAACAAGAAAAGGGTGAAGCAAAAAGAGGTGCGCATATCATGGCTACGAAGCAGAAACATAAAAGAAATGAAAACAAATGAAATGCAAACAAAAAGCAAACATAAATATTTTAATGCGAGCATTATTTATTACTTTTGTGGCGGCGATTTTTGTGGCAAGCAAAAGTTCTCTATCTTCCGTTTATTAATTTTTCCAGCTGAACGGAAAATGCAGTACATAGTTATAATAAAATACTATTCTGAAATAGCTTTAAGCTTCATATTATTCAATTCTTACCAAAAGAATTATTATCTGCAGACAGAGAACAACAAAATTCACGGTAATAGATAATAGAGTTGAAAATAATATAATAATTAAGAATACATTTAAATACATACATTTAAAGTCGAAAATGATTAAGATAAATGAATATATTTCAACATAATGAACTATTAGTGCATTTATACAACATATACAAATGTCTGAATTGAACAAATCTTATTAAACGAGCTAAGCACCTATGTGCATGTGCGCCAAAGCGATCTGCCGCTTACTATGCATGTAAAGAGCTCAAACACTATTGCAAAAAATGTACTATTTTCTAATACAATGAATAAACCATAAACATTTTTAGAAAACATACCTTTATTACTTGAAAAAAATCAAAAGAAATGCCGAATAATTTGTGTTATATTTATTTTAAATGTTACTTAGCTTTTAGCCAAAAAGCATACGACTATTTTCAACTTTTAATTGGGTTAGGGCATAACTTATTTAATATTGAGTGCAATGCAACAATACAAGTTGATTACATCAATATTTTCCTATTCTGTGCTTACCTTGCTCTTAGAGCTTCTTTTGTTAGTTTTTGGTTTTAATACGTGCTTCATACGATATTCCACCTTGGCCAGCAAATGAAAATTCTTATTAAACTTTCAGAAGCCTTAAATGAAGCCAAGTGCCAAGTGGAAAGTTGCAAGTGCCAAGTGCCATTTGTGTAGTTCATTGATTTTTGCTTCATATTGTACTTGCAATGGGAGTAAAGGGTGGCGTATACGCAATATATATTTGTGTTTGGCTGCGCTGCGACATGGCTGGCTGGCTGCTGGGGCTGCATTTTTAATGCGCATTGCAGTGAGACCGAAAGGACAGTGTTAAGGGATGAGTAGGCAGGCTGGCTGGCGAGCCTTTGCGCAAATATTTAATAAAAATGCAACATTGCGCCCCATGCGACGTTGTCAACTGGTGAATGCCATAATTTAACAAGTACAATTCGCACAACTGGCAAGCGACCAATTACACATGACTTGACCTTTAGTCGCAGTCAGCATTTTGCATATTTATGCATTCACATGAGTTCAGCTTGCGCGTGCTGGCCTGGGGCTTTGATTTCGACGCTCTTCTAGGGCCGTATTGGCGGCGCGTAGGGTAAAGTAATAAACAAACTCAATACCGCTCAGTATGCTGGCGCCAAGAAAGAGGCCCAGCATACCACCCATGGTCACCACAACGTCAAGCCGCGTGCGCAGCGCTTGTCGGCGATATTGATCCGTAGGCCAAATAGGCATTGAGAGAGTTATGTTTCGCGCTTGGCTGCTTAAGTTATATCTGCAACAGGAAACCGAAAAATCAGTTAAAGTCCATACACTCAGAAAACATGTGCACAATATCGAATTGATTATTTAACTCTTCAAATCTATGCAATAGCAAGATCTGGCAATGTGAACGAACAATAGTTATATGCTGTTCCTTTGATTTGATTGAAGATGGGACAATTTAATTTCAGGAATGGCATAACTTTTGTAAACATTTCAATATCGTCAATCAATTTCTAGAATAATATCATCCATTCGATATGTACATACATACTACACATATTAATTGTATGTTAAAACTTACGACGATACTGATTCATAGACCATTCGCTTGTCAACCTCATTGCAGGACGGCAGGCAACTACAGCTGAGCTTGGGACTTTTCAATTGCATAAGGAACTTGGCATCCGGTTTGACCATGGAATGATCCTCCAAGCATAGATATCCATCCATATCGCAATCGGGAAACCGGCTATCATTAAACGGATTAAAGGTATAAGATGTGCAATTACACAATTCCAGCTGTATAAGACGAGCACAGTCACTGATGCAAGAACTAAAGCTGTAGGCTTTGTATACACTGCCTGGCAATAATTCATCGGGAAAGTAACATTTTCGCACTTCTCCCGGAATATTACGCACATCGTCATCATTGTCCATGGCTTCCAAGTAAAATTGTATCGTCTTCTGTTGTCCAGGGGCTGAGATGCTTACACCAACGCCACTAAGGGCTGTATGTGGCAAGTCCTCTTCGTCCATTAAACTCACATATATTGACCGATATGTAAGTAGCTGCATAATTGCCTTCTGACTGCCCGGATCCAACATAGTGGGCAACCAGTGCTTTGAGTTTCTATTAATGTATGCATAAAAGCAATACATAAATGAAATTACTAAGGTACACTACAAACCTCTTGCGAAAAGCATGCACAAGTAAAGCGGAAAGCAAGTAGCGCACTAATAGGAAAATTTATACAACAAGACTTTAATCATATACCGCGTTTAGATTGAATAACCCAAAAAATATATATTGTATTGATCGGTATTACTGACTAAGACAATATAAATTATGTCTTCCTGTCCGCCTTTCCGCAATTTTTAACCCAATGATACCGAAACCAAAGAAACTAGAAATACTACATTTAGCTTCAGTCCGAAAAAGGGCAAAGTTGTGTTTTCTTTATTCATCCGAAGGCGGTTGTTCAAATTTTTATACTCTGTACATGAAATGTACGGGAGTATATTAGGTTTGCGGGATCTGAAAATGTAACAGGCACAAGGAGGCGTGGCAGACCCCACAAAGTATATACATTCTTAATCAGCGTGACATGACGAGTCGATCTAGCCCTGTCAGTCTGTCTGTCCGTCCGTATGAACACCTGGATCTCAGAGACTAGAGAGACCAAATTTTGCACAAAGGTTTGTTTGTTTTATTTTCTTTATTTCCCCAACTTCCCCCCTATGGGGGCTTTCCCGATTTTCCATTCGTACAATCGCCTATATGTCGGAGACTATAAGACCTAGGGACACCAAATTTTAGTCTGAGATGCCTTATGTGAATGCGCAGAAAATTTGTATTTTGGAATTTCCCTCCCTCCCCCCTCGCCCACACAATCCATAACTCCCTTAATTCTTGAAATTTTTAATTGAAATTCGAAAAATACCTCCCGTTAGTGATTATGAGTCCATATGTCGGGTTTCATAATGATAGGCCAATTTAACAGGAAGTTATAGCGATATATGTATATATGACCAAGCAGTGACCGCAGCTGTTGTTGTTGTTATAATTATACTACACATATGTACAGAGTATTTCAAAGTCTGGATACCCGACTTTCTCTATTTGTTAAATAAAATATTTGCCAGCATTCCGTTGTAAGTCAACAGCCTGTGATCTCAAGACACAAAGATTCAATTTACAATAACAACTACGTTTGATGCTGTCATATCTTACAAAAGTTATATAGCAAATGCACACAAATTTTCTTACAAAGTTTTAGTCGAATTAACGACTGCAGCTGCTTGTATAGGAAAGTGCCCGAAAACTTTCGAATTCGGAGGTGCAACATTTTAAAACAGGTAACCAAAAAGTTACCAAAAAAAGTTAAAAACTTGAAATTTAAAGGAATACTCACCTTTGATTATTTTGAAGTGAATTAAGCAGAAAGCAACGTCCATATGGCGTAGTAAGCGGCAGGAAATATTTGCAACAATCAAAGGTGCTTCCCGCTAGCGTGCACTCGATAAACATGTCCGAGCAATTGGCACCAAACTGCATAATAAGTTACGATTATCAGAATTGTTCAACAGTTCTACAGACCATCCATGCATCCTCGTATTACCCTTGTTAAAAAATCGCGATAGTTTTTTTTTTGACACTTGGCGCACTGCTCACAAGTTTCATAATGCTCGCAGCTCGACCTAATGGCACCCTCATGATATAAATACGGAAAAAGTATGAATTCCATGTGCGATTCCACTTCATAGTTGTACTCTTCGATCAATCCAGTTCCCAAGCTGCAATTAATTCATTGAAAGTGCAACCTATTTACAACCTACAAAGGTTTTAGAGTTTAAAAAAGCAAACAGTAATTACAATTGCAACAAAAACCATAACTGCTACACAATTATATTAATTAGCTCTAAATTAAACTGCAATACATTTTTTAAATGAGCCAACCGCAAACAAAGTATGATATATGGCCAAAAAAAAAAACGGTTTAATGGAATAAAATATGAACAAGAAAGGAATGCTAAAGTCGAGCAGGCTCAACTTTTAAATACCCTGTACCACCCCACAAAAAAGTAATTTAATTAATTAATTAATTAAATTAAATTAATTAACTAAATTAATTTAATTAATTAACTAAATTATAAATTATTAAATACATACATTTACATCAGAATCGTGCCTTATGCGTGTTTGTGTACTTGTACATATGTATGTATGTGTGCATTGGGCCTGGTTATATGGCTATAACTTTCTTTCCGAACATTCTATCATAATGGTATACGGATATATAATTACTAACCTAATGTGACTACGAAATTTTAGTTCAAAATTCCAAGAATTACGGGAGCTATAGAAAATCGTTAATAGGGGGGGAGTGGGGGGTGCATCGGTAAAAATGAACAAACTCGTCCTTTCCCGGGCTCAGGAGAATCTGTATACCAAGTTTGGAGATCCTTGCGTTCATACAGACAGACAGACGGACATGGCTATATCGACTCGGCTTGTCATGCTGATCAAGAATATATATACTTTGTGGGGTCTACCAAGCCTCCTTCTGTGTGTTCCATGTGCACTCGCACAAAACTAATATACCCTTGTACCCTTTGGGTACAGGGTATAAAATGAAATTAACTTTTGTATTTTAAACCACGAGAGAATATCTGCCTAGTTACCAAGGCGATGAGAAGCAGAGTGGATATAGCCTTGTCCGTCCGTCCGTCTGTCCGTCTGACCGTCTGTCCGTCTGTCTGTCCGTATGAACGCAAGGATCTCAGAAAGTATAAGAGCTAGAATAACCAAACTTGGTTTCCATATTCTCCTCAGACCAAGAAAGTACGAGTTTGAGTTTTTTTTCGATGCACCCCCCACTCCCCCGCAATTCATGTTTTTCCCGTAATTCTCGGAATTTGGAAATAGGTAGGTACATCCAGTTGGTACTAATGTGTCCGTGTGCCAAATTTCATCATGATAGGTCAATTCTGAAGAAAGTTATAGCCATAAGTAAAATCGCTGCTCATGCGCTGCCTGCAGCTCTGTCGGCAGCGCTGCCCGCAGCTGTTGTTGTTGTTGCTGCTTTTGTTCAACTTTGTGCTGCATACATACACGCATATAAACACGCATAGGTACGTGATGTAAATGTATGCTGTTTAAACTGAACATAAACATGTTTTCTAATTTAATTTAATTAATTAATTCATTCATTCGTTTTTTTTTTAAATTTATTTTTTTTTTTAATTTTTTTTTTTTTAATTTTTCTTTTTTGTGGAGAGTACAGTATTTTGTGTTGGCAGCTACTGGTCAGTCACTTTGTCAGACACTACTTTTGCAGTTTGGTTGCCAGTCAGTCACTTTATCAGGTACAATTTGTGCAGGTAACATTTCTTCGTAACATTATTTCGTTAATAACTTTTCGTAGAATTAACCGATTACTTTAAAATTTGAAACGAAAGAAGATCATTATAAACAAATTATGTGTGCAATGTTTGGTTAAGGTAGCTTTTGAAATGTGGACAGTATTGACGAAAGGAAAGGGGCTAAAATTCCCAAAAATCGTCCTTTCTCGGATCTAGGAGAATCTGGATTCTAACTTTGGTTGTTCCAGCTTTTATAGTTTCTGAGATTCTTGCGTTCATCCAGACGGACGGACGGACATGTCTATATCGACTTATCTCGCCATCAATAGATAGACGGACGGACGGACATGTCTGTATCGATTTTTCTCATCATGCTGATTCAGAATATACAAGTACGTACTTTATGGGGTCGGAGATGCTTCCTTATGCATGTTACATACTTTGCACAAACCTAATATACCCTAATGCAAAGTATGTAAGACGCAGAAGAAAGCATCTCCCATATAACTTATTGATGGCGAGATACATAAGTCGATCTAAGCATGTCCATTCGTCTGTCTAGATGAACGCCCGGATTTTTTTGATATACCCCCCACCTGCTACAAAATTTCGTAAATACTGTCCACATTACAAAAGCTACATAATTTATATATTAATATCTACTTTTATTTCAAATTCCATCCAAATCGGTTAATTATAAGAAAAGTTATTAGCGAAACAATTTCACTTCTTTACTATACGGTCCCTAACCACTATTACGTTTTTTTCGATAGGGCAACTTTTAATGACTTATATTTCTTTTTATGTGATTATTGCCCAAACATATTTATACTTTTTAAAATGGTAATTGAATTACCCTTAATTTCGTATCAAAACATGCGCACGTTTCACAAACAATAATGCAAAAAATCAATTTAAATAAGTCAGCTTTCATAATACACGAAATATTTTTGACCATTATTAATTGGTACGGCAACAATATTTACTAATTAAACCTGAGTATCATCTTTTTATACCCTGTACCCAAAGGGTATATTAGTTTTGTGCGAGTGTACATGTAACACACAGAAGGCGGCGTGGCAGACCCCACAAAGTATATATATTCTTGATCAGCATGGCAAGCCGAGTCGATATAGCCATGTCCGTCTGTCCGTCTGTCTGTCCGTCTGCCTGTCTGTCCGTCTGTCTGTCTGTACGAACGCAAGGATCTCAGAAAGTATAAGAGCTAGAATAAACAAACTTGGTATCCAGATTAGTTAATTAATTAATTAAATTAATTTAGTTAAATTTTGTTTTAAAATTGGTAAAACTTTTACCGAAACGTTTCAATTGATGGAACAAGTTTATGCCGATGATTGCCTATCTCGTAACAGAGTGCACGAGTGGTTTCAACGTTTTTAAAGTGGTCGTAAGGACATAAATGACGATCAACATGTGACGATCAAATTTCCATCGAAACTGTGCGTGCCCGGTTTGTTCAGACGACCAAAAATTGCTCTCATCGATCGACACTTGTGACCGATTATTTCACCAAAAATCACATTTTAACTATTAACCACTCGCCGTATTCACCTGATATGGCACCGTGCGACTTCTACCTTTTCGGAAAAATGGTAGGCCATGAAAGGAAAGCGTTATGCAGACGTAGGGGCCATTCAAAAAGCTTGCACCGGCATGCTGACGGACATACTTGATATTTTGGCAACCATTTCGCCAGGGAAATCAATTCCTGATGAATAATTCCCTTTGAACCTTAGAACCAAATCAGCTTTGTCTTCACTTTACAATACACATATTTTTAGGTTTTGGCTCATCTGGATTCTTTTACTCCGCACTTTAACAATTGGTTTCAGGATCTTATGGAAAACACCCCATTTCATCTTTAGTCACAATAATGTTTTTCAACTCTTTAATTACGTCTTTCGGCGATTTCTTTCTGAGCAATTTTTTGTCATTTTTCTACCAAAAGCACAAACACAGTTTTGCTTTGCATGCGATAGATCGGCTCAATTAAATTTAAATGAATCTTGGAGGGTATGTCGATAAAAGGTGAATCTAACTAACCCATCAACAGTGTACGCCACCAGAAAGCGTAAGCTTTTTTAAGTCCTGTCTTACAGCGTTGTTATTGTATGTGACTATAATTCCACACCTAGTTGAATAACTTTTTTAATTTATTGATTTTAATATTGACTAAATCTAAGTGATGAAGAGATCATCATATTTCTTACTTTCATAAAAATATTAAAATACAAATATATGTATATCAAGGCGGGTAGATGATATTTCAAAGTCGAGCTGGCGCTACTTTAATGTTTTTCTCGTTTACCTTCTACTGTGTATATAAAATCAACCAAAAATTACTTAACTACCAAACATGTAGTGACAAACTGGCATTTCGCATATTTTTGCATTGGAATACATGCAGAAGAAAACTTTTTAATTTGGTGCAAAAGTTGAGCTTTCACAACTACATAAATAGTTAAGTATAATTCTTTTTTTTTCACATTAAAGACCTGCCAGCTCCTTTACTATAAATAAATGAATAAAGTCAATTAAAATTACTTAATTTTCTTTAAATTTGCTCTACTTACAAATTTGTAGTCCCTGAAGTACTTAACTTAGATTTGCAATTAATTTAATTTTTGGTGTTAAAAATGTGACCCATTGTTAGACAAATAATAATAATAATAAGTAGCTGAAATCACCCAAAAAAATAAATGAAAACATATATAGCCCGGAACAATCAGACCCTGAAATTCTGGAAAAGCTATACAAACACACATACACATGTATGTTTTGAAACACCTTTGGAATGGTTCTTAATACGCTTTTACGCGCAAAGCCTAGCCATATATAATTTCATAAAATATTTAAAATATATTTATTTAAAATATTTAAAAAAAAGATGAAGAACAAACAGTGCTGCATTTACAAGTAGATTCATACTAAGCAGACCTCAATTTGATTTAAATATTGAAGGACACCAAATTTTAGTCCCAGAAAATGTGTATTTTGGAATTTCCCTCCCTCCCCCCTCTCCTCCACAATCCATAACTCCCTTAATTCTTGGAATTTTTGAAATTCTGAAATTCCTTCCATTAGTGATTATGAATCCGTGTATCGAGTTTCATAATGATAGGCCTATTTAACAGGGAGTTATATCCATATGTGTATATATGACCAAGCAGAGACCGCAGCTGTTGTTGTTGTTACTGCTTTGCACAGGCACACAGATACACACAAACACACACATACACGCATAATTATACTACACATATGTACACAGTACTTCAAAGTCGGGATACCCGACTTTGGCTTCTCTACTTGTTTTAACATCATTTTAGGTAATGGTGACAACAACCACTTAACACTCACCTTGCAATAAAGTTTTCCAATTCTGCCCCAACCTGGTCTTTATATATAAAATCGCACACACTGACCGTGGGAAATTTCACGCGTTGAAATGGCGACAAGCTCTCGTAAACAATGCTTACTGCTCGTATGGGAAAGTCCCGCTGGTACTCGCTGATCAAATGATAGCAGCCCATGGCCGAGAGCAGGACACAACTCACCCAAAAGATGCGCTCCAATGGATGCAGACTATTATTGGGGGGCATGGAATATTTTAGCAAGTAGGGATAGTGGTTGGTATGGGGTTGTTTGTTTATCTCGGACGCGCAACCGGCCGTGACTGTCGCCATATACATAAACTTACTTCTGATTGGCAATGTAGGCAAACCCGACCAAGGTACAATTGGCGCAGTAATCCTTTAAGTAGGCAACCAATTTCCAGGCCCAACTCTGTTCCTGCGGCCTCTCTACGTTGCCGTGAGCAATTTGCTTGGACATGGCTGCCCAGTCCGTCCGCCTTTGTCGGTTGTTCAATAAGCCGATCGCACTCTGGCTCGCTGGCTTTCGCAGTCGCAAGGCAACTGGTTGGGGTTTTTGGCCAACATAGCCCATATAAATGGACATTGTGGTACGGCACGACAACAACTCTGCTGTAAATTTGTTTGCTGCAGTTTGCAAAGTATTTGTAGGCAACTTAATAGCATGTGAGTGCGGTTGCTGTGTGCCAAGCCTGGCAAGCCCGACAAGCCTGCCAGCGAGCGTGCTGGACATGTGTGTGTGTCCTGTGGTGTGGTCGATGACTGCAGTCAGCAGGACAATCGCATTGGCAAAGGCATGGTAGTGCATACGAACAGCCTTTAATTGGTGTTTGCTATGTGCAGGTGTCGCAATAAGGATTTAAATGTACACAAACACAGAAACCCACACAAACACGCAACGACAGCGGCCAATAATGTGCACGAGAGCCATGAGAGCGCTAGTGGGACGGGAGTCAAACAGACTTCAAGAATAATTGAAAGATCTCTATCTGGCCGAGTATGTGGAGAGTCAGAAGGACCTTTGGCATTTAAAATTTACCAAATGAACTCTATAACAATTGTATCTCAGCAAATACTTGTAGTCTAATTTTTAAAAACTTATAGAATTTAGAATCCATCAGAAAGCTGTGGCTGAAATGTTTTACTTACAATATCGGTCACAAATTCGATGTAAGGTTAAATATTTTGTTTTCGTTTAAAAGCATCACGGTATAGAGAACGACAAAATAGAAACTGTTTTATTCTTTATTTACGGATACGTCACACAAGCTAAATGAACTCGCTTAATCATACCAATCTAATCTGTCCTTAATTCAGGTACAAGTTCTTACATTGTTATCTCCACTGTTTCTATTTTATTTCTTTAGTGGAGTATAACTTTCCCCTTTAAAAATCATGTAAATATATTGCTCATTTCTGAACAAAATCGTTGCATTCCAAAACTAATTTCAAGTCTGATCAATTTTATGGTAGCTATACTATAAAGAAATTTATTCAAGCTCGGATATATTTTGTAATAAAACAACTACAGAACCCATCAAGCTTGCAAAATAAAGAAGTTATCCTAAAATAGGTCAAAAAATACCCAATATATGTAACACAAATTGTGCAAGTCTTCAATTTGTTATTTATTCCATTTCTTAAACATCCTTTGTTAAATTTGGTTTCTTTTTATCTCAGTATAATGGACATTAGTGGTGGTCCTTTTAAAAAACCTTTTGGTTACATATGTTAAAGGAATAGGTCAGAAAAATGATTCATCTAATGGCTGTTTCTATTGAATGTTACAGTTCCATACGATTCTATATAGCCTTAAAAAGAACAGGAGCGATTTGAAATTTGTATACAATACTTATCTTTGAATCAATTGATTATGTTATTGGTTTTGGTTTGTTGGAAACATTCTCCCTAAATTTTTAGTTTAATATTATAATGAATTAAAAAAATGTTATCAATCTTTTAAATAAGTTTCTTGAAATGATTTTCAAAATAATTGTTGTATTTTATAATTAAATGCCTACTTGCTAAAGTCATTATTTAAGTCATTATTATTATTTTTATTATCATTAGTGTAAGTAAGTCTTTTTATTCTCCATTTTAATGGTATCTTTCATTTTATTATTCAACGCATATTTCAAACATTAAAGTGCAAGTTGGCACATAGTCTTAATTACAGCGCACACATTAGCCCTCGTTACTGTTATTAATTAATGAGTGGACGCTGGTGTTTAGAACTCGAAAATATAATTATACACTCACCATTCATCTGGCAAAACATTAAAAAACAATTAAGGTACTTAATAAAATTTCCAAGCAATGTCAACTGCAATAAAGAACATTCACCCACGCGAATCACAAAATTCGTTTTACTTGCCGCATGCCATGGAATCTAATGTCAACATTTTAATTATTTATGCGGCGAAACATGCATGAAAATTGTTTTTCATAATCTATGTATGTGTTCAATCAAACAATACCTCTCCATTGTTTTTTTTTTCCGTTGTACTTTCGAGTACCATTTGGTTTTGTATACCCTTCGCCGTAAAGGTCTTTGCGATTTCTCACAAATTAAAATAAATAAATTAAAACAACGGATTTTTGGGTAACAAAATATTTCCTGTGGATCTAATGCATAAAGTGCTAGAAAATAGTCTAAAGTGTAGAAAACAGTTCTAAAAAATGTGTTTTCAACTCATACTTAAAACTTTACAGTACACAAGCCACACTGATTGTTATATTATTTACCTATATTTTGGAATAAAAAAAATTGTTACCTATTCATCCAATATAAACAATCATTTTTTAATAATTCTAATAGTACTTGAATTTTATATTCTGTATACAGCAAATAAATAATAATTTATCAATCTTCATGGGAACGGTATTAGAGCTTCGGCTATGCAATTACAAGTATTTGTATTAATTGGCTTATTTTATACATTTTTTTAGTGCTCTGGTTGGTTTTTGGTTTTTAAGCCAACAGCCACAAAGCTGACGCCTTCAAAAAAGCGGCTTATGCATATATTTTTTGCCTTTTGTTGCATTTTTCGCGTATTTGTATTTTCAAGTTTTTTCCCCTGTGGGTCGAGTTAAAATGTTTTGCTTCAATTGACCTGCAGTTCCGATTGCATTGCTTTACAGCACACATTACAATTTAAGCTCAAACTTTATTGTTAAATTTTTGTTTGCAACTGGAACTTTATTAGGTTAATGGCTAAGAAGTCGGATGGGTGTAGCGATGTGGGGTCAAGACTTTAGCTGTCCCTCCCTCGAATCCAAGCCAAACAAAAATATTATTGCATTTATATTATCGCAATATTATTATATTATTATTATTATTGAAATTACACATTCATACATCTACGTATATATAAATATGTTGACTGGTTATTACTTTGATTGAATATCAGTCATGTAAGTTAATAAGGGCCTTATGAAGATTGCCTCAAAATTGTTTCATTGAAGGGTATATATAAGGGTATTTTAAGCTAAATTATTAAATTTTATCCCACTTAAGTAACGGATGTGACCTTAGATAGAGTAGAATTTTACAAAAGCGCTTGCAAACATAAGTATGTAATGCATGCTCTACATTTAACAACTGTTCCAGTCATGTGCGACTGGAACTTCAACAAAGTTGTAGAATATATAGGTCATATTTATACATACTGCAGTATGCATATATTAATTTTGAGTCTCGTTCGATATCATATTTTTTGGTACATTTTATGTAGTGCATTGAAAGCGAAATGAAAACAAGAGGAGCGCTTCCAAAAATATGAAACCATAAATACTCGTACATATTTGTATTTGTAAAAATAAACAAAGCGTCATGAGCCACAAACGAGAAAAAATATATGTGAAGTGCACTTCAAAATAATTTCGATTGTTGGCGAAATTTTTGAAGCCGTTGGCCCCAAAATAAGAAACAACAAATTTAAAGCCACTTGTATCACAAAAATTAAATAAATAAATACAAAATATTAAAGCGTTAAAAGTCAGTGAAATATTTTGCAAGCAAGCTATGCACAATGGGCATAAAACTCAATCAGACACCCTCTTCGTGTTATTAAACCAGTTCCTCAGACCCCATCAAAAAAGCAGAAGTCAACTAACATTATGGAATAAAGTCTGCAGCTCGTTTAATAGACAAGAACTACTCTTATTTCTAAAAACAAAACTACATACTTGAAATCTATTATTTGGGTACAGAGATTAAGCACTTGTTACCATATACAAGTATTTTGTAGTATTGTAGGACCCGTTTATAAGATTTTCACAACTTTAAATGCTTGTTTTTGAAATCTTGTTCTCTTCGATAAATCAAAGCGCTTATAAGACTTACACGATAATCTATTTACTTAAATTAAGTATAATAAATTTAAATTAAGTATGATATTGGATATTTTTAAGTGACTGCTAGAGTACTGCTGGCTTAGCCTTTAGTACTTAATTAAGCCCAATGAACAAATATAAATTTGCTACAACAATTAACAATGTAAAGCTGGAAAAATTATACAAAATACACAAAAATGCATGTGGCTTAATACTCGGCTAAAGTTGAAAAATAATTAATATATTCTTTATACACCTTTTAATGAAACTTACTTGTATATGAAGCCGAGCAATTCTTTTTGCAACTAAGATGAGAATTCCTGTTTATAAATGGGTATGATACGAACTTATTTTTATACCCTGTACCCAAAGGGTACAAGGGTATGTTAGTTTTGTGCGAGTGTACATGGAACACACGGAAGGAGGCGTGGTAGACCCCACAAAGTATATAGATTCTTGATCAGCATGACAAGCCGAGTCGATATAGCCATGTCCGCCTGTCCGTTTGTCCGTCTGTCTGTCTGTCTGTCTGTCTGTATGAACGCAAGGATCTCAGAAAGTATAAGAGCTAGAATAACCAAACTTGGTATACAGATTCTCCTGAGCCCGAGAAAGGACGAGTTTATTCATTTTTCCCGATGCGACCCCCCACTCCCCCCCCCCCCCCCCCCCTATTCAATATTTTCTATAACTCCCGTAATTCTTGGAATTTTAAACTAATATTTGGTAGACACATCCAGTTAGTAATTATATATCCGTATACCAGTAGTTTCATTATGATAGGTTGATAAGAAAGAAAGTTATAGCCATATAACCATGCCCAATGCACACATACATACATATGTACAAGTACACAAACACGCAATAACACGATTCTGATGTAAATGTAAATGTATGTGTGCATGTATGGAATATTTTGTATTTAATTTAGTTAATTAATTAAATTAATTTAATTAAATTAATAAAATTAAATTTATTTATTTTTTTGTGTGGTGGTACAGGGTATTTAAGAGTTGAGCCTGCTCGACTTTAGCGTTCCTTTATTGTTCAATTTCATTATTTATTTATTTTTATTTTATCTCTGCCCAAAAAAAAACATTTTCTGTATTAATCCTGTGTCAAGGTGTTCTTTAATACAGCTTCTTAATATAGCACGTTCACGTACTGGCTCCTGTTGATTGCGGTTCTGTTTCTTGTTCGGGTTTTGGTTGCAGAATTGCTTTTTGTTCGGTATAGATTTCGGTGTTTCTT